CAAAGTAAAAGAATATAGTATCATACCAAATCAACACATTTATTAGTTTCTCAAGCATTTTTTGACAATAATGCTACAGAAGTTAAGATAATGAAATTCAGGCGGCACCTATGGCTTAGTGAGTACAATGCCGGCCCCATATACCCAGGGTGGCAGGTTGGAACCTGGCCCCAGCCAAACTGCAACAAAAAACCAAATCACTGGGTGCTGTGTCAGGTGCCTGTAGTCCCAGCTACTCTGGAGGCTGAGGCAAGAGACTCTCCTAAGTGCAAGAGCTGGAGGTTGCTGTGAACTATGACACCACAATACTCAACCAAGGCTGACAGAGTGAGACTCTATCTCTAAAAAAAAGAGAAAAGAAAAAAAAGACAGTGAAATTCTCAGTGTATCATATCAAAAGGCACATGAAAGTGATATGTATCATTAGGAAGATTTTGATTTTGGTTACCTGATTAAGGTAGTGTCTGTCATGTTTCTTCACTGCAAAGTTACTATTTTTCTCATTAAAATTCATAAATATAAAGTAGGGAGATACTATGGAAGTATCATAATTTTAAATACCATTGATAATTCTTTCTGGTAGTAATTATTACATATGAACAATAATTTTATAGTTCCATAATTCCTTTTCCATGTACCAATTCAACTGATAAATATAAGAAAGAACTTTCCCCATTTTCACATTTTTTTCTTACTGAATTATGAACACCTGTAAATATAGACTCCTGGATGTTTATTTAATTCTACAGGATATGATACATTACTATCATTATTAAGATTTTTGCTTAAATTATTTCAACATTGGCCATTTGAAGATTCTTCAAGTTGGATTCTGTGTCATATCAACAACTTCCTGTCATTTTCCCCAGTATTTCTTTAATTTACCACATTGCAAGATATTATAAGCTCATTTTTTACTTTCCTTGATCTAACTCTGCAATCATCTGTTTCTCATGAAATGAATACTGTTTATTTGCAGTGAAAATTTTTACTTAAAATTCAGGCCATCTATTACTACATTGGCAAAGAAGAGCCCATACTTCCTTGTAGCAATTGTTAGATATGAGATTTTGAAAAAGTAATGAATTTAACTAATAATTCACTTTACTCTTTAATTTTCCAAACTTTTTTTTCATTAAATCACAAAATAAAATATTTAGGATACACTGAGTATTTAAGTCTCTAATCAGCAAAGAATTCATGCACCATTCAAAAGTTATATATTTTTCCCACACATGGGAGTGTCTGTTTCATATAAAGTAGACTCACTATTGTGTGCACAATATATAGTTTAAGGATTTTGAAGAAAGAGAAATAATAAAGCCTAAAGTTTCTCATTACCTACTTTGTCACCTGCAGGATTCTCTACATTTTTTTCCTTTATGAAAACTAATCCCCAATCCTGTTCACAGCTCTTTTTACAAGGCATGTTGAGTTCTGCATTAACACAACAAAAGAAAGAGCCAAGTAGAAAAAAAAGTAGAAAACAGAAAAGAATTCACAGAGGGAACAAATTCTCTTTTCTTCTTTGTGGTTTTCTGTATATAACCTTACTTTGTTAATCATAATATCATCCATTCGTTTGTTGAGGAATAAAACTTGTCACTCATAAACACTTCCAGAAGTACCTTGATAGTTGTCCAGAACATATTTTCTAGCTATTCAAATAAAGAAAGATTGCTTGGATAACAAAGATAATCTGGCTTTCAATATCAGCATCCGGCCACTTACTAATATCTTTATCTCCCTGAAATCTCAAGATGATTATAGTTTTCCTGAAGTGGAGTCTCAGGTTCTCATTTTTGTAGCCAAGTCTCAATTCTAGTCCTTCACTTTCCTACCCCAGAGTTCTTTGGAGAAGACTAATGTATTATGTTAACACATCAGAGCTCACTAGACATGCTCACAAGTAGATGGCATTGAGCACAAACGTTTAAATTTGTGCTAAATTTAAACAATCTCCTTTTTGATAAAAGAACAAAATATATCATTTTCTTATAATGCTACTGTATGTGGTCTCCACATAGGCTATAAAAAATTTCTTTGATATTTAATTAATAGGTTTATTTTTCATGCATGGTATATAGGGAAACAATCATGTTTCTCCTTCACCCAGCTGCATACCATAATAGAATGTTTTGTATATAGACTAATTGTATCTAAAATGGATAGTTTATTTTTAAAAGTGAGAAACTTTCTCAATTTGTTTTCTCTATCTTCAAAGTATACAGAGGGTGATTTACTGGACAACACATTTAGGAATGGAGGAGAAGGATAGGAAAGTGAGATATGGTCTTTGGCGACTATGACATTTTGATTTTTAATGTTGTCTTTCTCTTAACTTTCTTTTTAAGTACATTGGATATCTGCTTCTATCAGTGTGTCTCTTTTTCTCCCAAACAATTTCCTTAATACATCTCCAGTGGTTGGTCAAATCTTCAATAAGTATTCATATATTTCAAGTATTATTCAGATTAGAAGATTCAATAGTACATAGACACAGAACAAGAACATGGACTAAAATTTCTCTTTATTGGTGGCACATATACTTGCCATAGCATCTTATTATTTAAACTTCAGAAAATTCCACTATGATCTCAGGGTTGGGAGTGTGTAGTAGTGTGGTACAAATGTCTGAGGCAGTAGCACCAAAGACAAGAAATCTCTCCTTCAGAAGGGCTCAAAGAGGGTGGAAAACAAGTATGAGGCCATAAATCTGGAATGTAAAAGGACTTCTACTGTCAGATTCCCTCTGTTTTGCCAAAGAGAAGGGACAGGTACCTAAGTCCCATGAAGAGAGGTAACTACTTGATATATCAGAAAAGATACAGGGGTCTTCTTCACCTTAGTTTTCCCTGAGAGTTAGATACTTACGTAGCTAAGCTTTCCAGACATCTATAGTTTGCAATAGAATTTATGGAATATTTCATAATTTACTCTATAGCCTGTTACTACTTTATATGCCTTCCCACCCCATAGAATTCACTCTAATAAGGTAGTCTTACCACTTAATATTTAAAAGTACCAAATACACTTAGAACCTAAGCCAAATATGTATTAACTTTCTACAATTACCTTTATAATTAGAAGTAAAACAAACAGACAAAAAGACTGTCCCTAATGGTTGTTGCTTTCCTGGAAGGGAAAGGGGAAAAATAAATGAATTACACATAGATACAGATATAGACATACATGTGGACATGGGCATACATGTGAACCTACACACACAGAAATACACAAAAACACATATTGACATACACATGCATATAGGCATGTGTCTCTAATAGTTGTTTCTTTTCTGAGTGAGAAAGGAGAAAAATAAATGAATTACTTTGTACAAACAAGTGCCTTTTTCTATAGAAGAAGTATTTTGAATTTTCATTATTTGCTGCTCCAAATAGCCAACAGTCTGTGGGTAGTATCACTTGGAAAAAATAAAAAAGAAAGAAAGAAAAAAACCTCAATATACAAAGCATGAAGAAAATGCTTGAACTTTGTTAAAAACAAGAATTCTCACTTTAGGGGTTCTTTATAAATTGAGTCCAAGTCATTTCACATATATTAGAACTACATCCTTAACATTATAAGTATGCTGTTGTCACTTCTGGAAGCTTTGCAAAATTTTGGGGAGCAGGCATTGCTAAGTCTCCCTATTTAACAACAATGCTCCTTATTGGGTTCCTTTTACCCCCTTCCAGTCTTCATTCCTTTTTGCTTCTTGCCTTCCCTCCTTTCTTCTCTCCTTATTTTTTATTTTCTCCCCCAAGTGAATACCTGTTTATAAAACCATGATGTCAATAATAAAGAAAACCAAAAATAATAGCAGATACATACATGCATGCTTGCATTAATTACATGAGTTCTAAAGAGATGGGACAGCAAGAAATGCTAAAGTTTAGAGTTGTGAAAATGGATAATTGACTCATCTTTCTAAGGGCTGAAAGCTTGAAAGAGAATACCAATCAACTACTATTGATGGTGTTACTACAGAATTTTCACTAATAATATGGTTCTCTGCCTTTTCTTCCTATAGTATCTGATTTGAGCTTTTTGATTTATTTTGTAGCTCAACATTTTTCTTTCCTCAGTGAAATGTTGTCATTGCCGGTGGTTTTTATTAATGATGTAGTGTTATTTAACCATTTTGATCCTTTCCATTTTATAAGAATTACTGAAAAGAAACTCTTTGAAAGCCCAGTGGCAGTGGAGGTTCATACAAGTACCTGAAGCCAATTTCTTACATGCAAAGTAGCCTAAAGTGAAAAAAATTATTTCATTCCAAAAAGTGACTTTTTCCACAATGTTAATCTTAAATTTCCACACAAGATGCATCCTTTAATTTGTATGTATGCGTGTATGTGTGCATGTGTGTGTGTGTGTGCGTGACAGAGATAGAGAGAGATTTTTCAGAGTACATAGATTCAGAATATTTGAGGGAGAAATTTTCCACTGGTGTATTGAAACCATGAGATAGGCAGTTCTCCTGGTTCCAAAGTACATTTATTTTTCAAAGAGCCTATAAATAAATGGCCACAATGCAGAATATGGATACTATAATGTTGTCATTAAAGATAACAAAAGTCAAGAAGTACCCAGAGACACAGAATTTGATTTCAGTTAACTTAATACTTTCCAGTTTCTTATTCTCTTTTCTAAAACTAAACATTCTCATATTCAACCAAATCTCTGACCTGAACTAAAATATCATAAGCAATAATATTCAGAAGAATATTAAATGAAAAATTTCCATAGCCTTCTATTAACAGTTTAGAATCTGAGAAAATGTTTAAAAAATCACTATTTTTAAATGTTATAAATTTCCAAATAAAATTATAAAAGATAACTTAGATTTTTTTTCATTTTGTGAATAGCATTCATTTTTTGTATCTTTACTGTTAAGAATTTTTTCCTAAGGGACATTTCCTAATGTACTTATCCAATTTTAAATGTCTCCAGAACTGAAGCATTCACTTTTTCACCATTAATCAGAAATATGGGTTATACTTACAAGGCAGGGGAGATACCATGATCATGAAGGTGGTTTTCCCAGTACAAGGCTTATCCATTTCACTCTGGATGTACTGACCCATGTGATTTTCCCAAATGTGGGAAACTTGCCTGCATAATTTGTGGTAGTGGGGGATTGTGTTTGCACTCTCCCCTGAAAAAAAATCAGAAATATGGGATTTTTATCTAAAATTATTTCCACTTTAAAACCCCCTTTTGACTTTGAGTTGTAGTTGTATCCCAAAGCCTCCATAACTGTTTGTATTTTTCTCTTCTCTGTGGTTCTATACCTTTCATTGATGTGATAAAAGCACGCTTAAGTCAGAAGTAATTCTGCAGAGTTGTGTGTTACCAGCAGAAGCTGTATCTTGTAGGGGTGAAAAGCCCAGACACCAGAATCAGACTCCCTGGTTCTCCCACTCACACTATTGTGTCTTAATTTTTTCATCTAAAAAATGGAAATAATCATGACACATATAAAGCACTTAAAAAGGTACTTAATGCATACACACTCACTAATTATTAATTTTTTCATGATATTCAGAGTGTTTAATAAAGAACATGGATTTCTCAAAGGAAAGCATATACAGAGGGTGCCAAAAAATGCATGCACATTTTAAGAAAGAAATAAACGGTATTAAAATTGTAATACTCAATATATACTGATAATTTTTATCATACATATTGTATCTTGTATCTCTTATAATTGCAGAAGTCAAAAGTGAGTAGAGTATTACAAATTTAATACCATTTATTCCCTTCTTAAAATTCACATACATTTTTGGTACCCTCAATATTTGTATAAATACATATTTTATATATGTACATATGACGTAAGTATAATCATTTAATTTTACTAAAATTTTAAAAAGATCACATAGAGATCATTTAAATGAAAACTTATATTTCTTCAAACATGCCTAATTATACAAAAAGTTACTCCAATCACTTCAACTTGCCTTTGAGGGAGCATGGTTAAAAGGAAATAGCAGGTTTTTGACTTAGAATACCTGTATTCAAATTCTGGCTCTAACATTTAGTTGCTATGTGATTATGGTAAATTTCTTGCCTTATTCTCTTCATTGATACCATAAGAATAACAAAGTATTAACCTCATAAAATTGTTAAAACATTGAAAATACTCAAATACTTACTCAAATATTCAAACACTTACATACTAAATGCTCAAATCTATTAAGAGCTCTCCAGTTAGATTTCTTGGATTTACAACTGTTATGTTTAATTTTATGTGTCAACTTGGAGAATACTTTTGGATTATAGTAACATTTAAATTGATGAACTTTGAATAAGCATATTAGCCTCTAGATAGAGCTTTATTCAATCAGGTGGAAGCTCAAATAGAACAAAAAGAACAGCCTCCCTAAGCGATAGGGAATTCTTCAATAGACTGCTTTCAGATTTTATTTGTGCCATTAGCTCTCCTGGCTTTCTAGACAGCCTCTTATGGACTAGAATTGCATCATTGACTCTCCTGGATCTTGAGCCAGCTGGTCTACATTGTAGATTTGGTCTTGCCAGCCTTCATCATCATGTGAGCCAGTTCCTTATAATAAATCTCTTTCTATAAATATAGGTACATCTTATTGGTTTGGTTTCTCTGGAGAATTCTGACTAATACAATATCATAGCTCTGTTATTTACTACCTCTGTGACCTTATAAAAGTTACTTAACCACTCTGAGCCTCATTCCTTCATCTACCAATTGGAGAGAACAATGCCTACTTCAATTGATTTTTGGAAGAATTAAATGAGTTAAAGTTTATAGAATGCATAGCAGACTATTAGACACCTAGGAAACTCTCAGGGAATGAGTTTCAGAGAGTAAATGAAAACAAGATACAGTGGCTACTTCACAAGATGAAGACATAGCTGAATTTAGTTCTGTTTTGTTGAAGAACTAAAAGAGCATAAAGTTTTTCGATATTCTCTTTAAAGCAAAATGTAAAGGTTGCCAGTGTAAATTTTTTTCAGAAAGGTGAATAGGTCCAAAGACAAAAGTTCATGGTATGGAAAATTTTTCACTGTTTTTTCAGATCCAACTATTTTCTCAGATCTAGCTTGGCCCTATCATGTGTGTGCAATGTAATCTGCAACCACATCTTTCTTCTGGGCAGTGGAGCCATGAAAAAGTTATGCCAAGATATGTTGCATCCTGTTTTGCATTGTCGGACCTCCTGCTGCTAATAAATTTTTGTATCCTAATAAGAAACTGTCTGGGTATGGTCATAGGGTGTCTTCTCACCAATTTATAACCATTGTTAAAACATCAGGTACATTTTTCTTTTTATTTCCGATTAATACCAGGGTACAAATGTTTAGGTTACATTGTTTTCATTTCTAAGATAAACTTCAAATTGTAGTTGAGTCCTTCACCCAGGTAGTATGTTGTATACACTTACCTGTTTCACACTAGGTGAGAATTGGCCAATCACTCTCCCTCCTCCCCATTCTCCTTTCCCTTGTCCCTTCTCTTATACTTGAATATATATGTGTTTTTCTCTCATGTGGACAAAATGCCATGTAGACTAATAATGAGTACCCATTTATTGCATTATTACTCTGTGCCATAAATTGGGAAGTGTGTTCTCCATTTCATTCCCTGAACAACCTTATAAGATACGTACAGTTTTTAGCCACATTTTACAAAGTTGGAAACTGGGGCTTTTTAAGATCATGCAACTTTTCTTACATGTACAGATTCCAAAGCCCATGTTCTAATTCAGTAATTTTCAAACTTCACGGCAGCCAGAGTCAATTAGGGAGCTTTTCAAAAATATAGATAATCAAGTCTAATCTCCAGAGATTTAAATTACATTTGAGTGGGGCCAAAGCACGAATAATAAAAAATGAAAGCTAAACTCCCTATATATTTTTTATGTGCTGCTAAATTTGAGAAGCCCTTTCTCAAGTTATATAAATGTTTTCCAAAATTATCTGACTGAAATTCCCAATTCAAAATATATTTAACATTATAACCCAGTGTACATATATGTGCAGAGATATAAAACTGAAACAAAAGTTTCACAAAACAATATAGATACTCATGACCAACAAGCATTCCATTATTTTTATTCTATTCTAGTTTAGTCTGTTACATTTGAACTGCTAATTGCAACCTTCTTAATTGATTTCACAACTCATTGGTTGGTTGCCAAACACAGTTTGTAAATCACTGCTCTGTACAATGCTTAATAAAAATGTGCTTCATTTCCCTACCCCTCCCTGCTATATATTCCATTTGAGCCTCCTTCTCCACATTGAAAGCCAATTATTTCTTGAGTCCTGAGAAATCATTTCCTTCTACTTCCCTCTTGGCACACTCTGTTCATTCTACAACCTCTTCCTTCAGCTGAATGCCTTGCATAACAACTGTTCTGAGACTGTATCTTTAAGCAACTATTATTGAGACAGATAATGCTATGTCTCAAGAAATGTCACCTTTTTTAGGTCCACAATATGGTGAAAAGTCCTTTTATTCAATTTTGCAGTTTTTGGCCGGGGCCGAGTTTGAACCTGCTACCTCTGGTATATGGGGCCGGTGTCCTACTCCTTGAGTCACAGGCACCACCCATTTTTATTCAGTTTTGGAGTAGAATAACCAATTACTTTAGTTCTCTATTGCTGATCAATAAATTACGACATATTTGCCAGCTTGGCACAATAATTTCCATGGGTCAGACATTCAAGAACAGGTTACTCTGGTCCTCTGCTCAGGGTGTCTGCGAGTTGAAATCAAGGTTTTGACTAGAGCAATGGCCTTAATAAAGCCTGGTGTCCTCTTTTTACCTCTTTGCCTGTTGACAGAGTTTTGTTGTGGATATGAGTTCATGGTAGCTAGCTTTAAGGTCATCAGGGGAAACTCTTTTCAGAATGACTTAGTCTTTTTTTAAAAATTTACCTAATTAGATAAAACTCACCCACTGAAAACAAACACCTTTGTGATTAACTCTAAATCAACTACTATCAACATAATCCTAATAGTGATATTTTATTCATAGTTCTTGCCCACTCCCCAAGGGGTGGGAATCATTAAGTATAAGTACATAAAAGTTTAAAGATCAAGTGAGAAGTCATTCTACCACGCCAATCATCTCTAATACCCTGGGTCTGTCCTGGTTTTAGCAGTAAAGTTCCACATCCCTACGTAAAACCCTGAGCAAACAAGTATAGTTGATAACCTTACCAGTGGGAAGTGAAGTCTCTCAACTATCACCCTTTTTGTCCTATACCTAATTAGTGTTCAATTGCAGGGAACTTGGACATGAAGTTTATTCCTGTTCTCCTTTGATATAATATTTGTAAAGAGGAGTTGACAAGAAAATTTCCTATAGTCAGAGGCTTTAGAGTAAGCATCGTAGAACTACTTGACCAATAACTTATTTTTCTTTTGGGGATTGCCCCACTTTAACAAAGAAACCAATGTTCATAAATAAAACACTATGGAAAAGGAAGAGAGTTCCTTCAGGGGAGGGGCAAGATGGCCAACAGGTGTCAGCTTCTGACAGAAGCTCCCATCCAGAAGGAAGGATAAAGTACAGAAAATACCAAACAAAGTTGAAGACTGGGAGCCCAGCCAAGAGAGAAGAGTGATATCTGCAGGACACCTCTGCTGAGGCAAGTTGAGACTCCTAGAACGCAATCTACAGGTACATAATACATCCCAAAGGAAAAGTGTCCGTCCCCTCCACCAGGAAACTTGTGTTTTTCTCTTTGTTTTCTCTTCCTCTGCTCCTTAAAGTTTCCTGCAGGCAAGAGGTGAGCTGAGGACCTATAATCCCATCCCACATGTGAGAGATACAGGGAGTGGGGTCTACTCCGCTAGAGGGACCCTGCTGAGCCTCTGAACACCCTCTTGCCAGGCAGAAAAATCCAACTAATTTTTCACTGCCATCTTGAATTTCCAGTCCACCCTTCCCCCTTTGCCTGCAGAGACAGTGAGAGGAGGCCCAAGAGTAGCATCCCCCCACCCTGGTGGGACCAAGTGCCCTGTCCCAGCCCTGCAGCTTGATAATTACTTGAGTCCTGTACTACATGTGCCCAGGCTGCTGGCAATCCCCGCACCCATGGGCCACCCCCACCCATTGATCCAGCCATGCAATTCCCCACACAGAGGCTGTTAGGTGCTCTGCACACCTA